CCGAGCCCGGCGCAGCAGGTGGACACGGCGGTTCCGCGGGACCCAACGGACCCTGCCGGCACCAAACCCCGCCGCCGCCGGGCTCCTCTTCCTCCTCCCGAGGCCGGGAGAGCCGCCAGGAGCGCCCCGCGGGCCCCCGCCCCAGCGCCGCGCCGCTCCCGCACCCGCCCCGCCTGCTCAGCCCGGCGGGTCCCCAAAGAGAGGGGTGCATCCCCACCCCTTCCCCCCTTCCCTCATCCTGGGGGCAAAAAGCAATGATTTCGATTCCTCATCCTCCCCTCGGAGCGCAAGGGGCAGCGGGGAGGTGGCCTGAGCCCACGCACCTGTCCTGCGGGCCCGTGATCGGCGGTGGCAGCTCATAAGTCCGAGTCGCTGCCACTTGGTCCCCGCTTCTCCCCGCCGCGTCCCGCCCGCGGCCGCCCAGCAGCGACGGCTAACTGCGCGTGCGCGTGCGCCGGGCGGGAGGCGGCGGCGGCGGGCGGGCCGCGCGCACCTGCTCCGCGGGCTCAACCGCCCGGCCCGAGCGGGCGGGCGGGCTGAGCGGGCTCGGCCCTGGGTCCCCGGTCCCGGGTCCGCAGGGGAGGGCTTCTTGACGCCACCTTTCCCTCCCGCCCTGCGCCCGCCCTTTCTGCAAACTGCGGGGTTCTGCCTCTCGGTGCGCATCTTAGGGTCCTGAGTTCCAGGTGCATCAGGTTTGCGAACAGCACCCAGGCTGTTCCTGCAGGTCTTTAGGGCAGGGGAGGTGACCGGTGGTCCCCAGGAAGGCGTCCTATTCCGAGTGCATGGTGAATATACATATGTTAGATGTTAACGTAATAAATGCATTGTCGTGTGTTTTGGTTTTTTTCTGAAACACTCTTATGAATTGCTAACATGTATTGTACTTGCTGTACACTTAAGGGTTTTACAAGATCTTTGCTAGTAACCTTCACAGCCATTCATCTTAAAGAAACTGAAGATCATTTGCTTGCCAGAGTAAATATGGAAATATCAGGGTTGAAATTTAGGCCCGTCTCTTTCAGAACCTGTAGTTTCAACCAGCACACTAAACATAAAAATATAGCATAAATGTACTACTGATTCTCCTCCCCCCCCCCCTTTTTTTTTGGCCCCTAGGTGTTGGATCATGTAGCTTTTACTACTTATGTTTCCTAGAAAAATCTGGACTTTGAATTTGCTATAATCATGATTCAATTTTATTGGAAGAATAAAGTATTTGTTGACTAGTGATGCCCCTATTAAAGAGTCTCAGACTGAGCTTGATGGTGATCCATGCACAATCTGTAATGATTGGCTAGGTGTCAGTGTCAGGGGACATTTTTCACGTTGCATCAGTAATAAGGCTACCAACTCTACACTCTTGATGCTGTTACCTTTTGGAGTGTGTTTGGATAGTGTTTATTGATTATTTTTTAACTTGAGGTACTTTATAGTGATATTTCTTTCTTCAGTCTTTCCAACTTTTATTATTCAGCATAATTCTGTGGCCCATAACCAAGACAATTCTACTTGCTGGAAATAATTTCTAAAGGATATATTCAAAGTTTGCAATGAAGAAGCTGAAAACTAAAAATTCTTGCCATATTTCTGACCTCAGTGCAAATGATTCTACTATTTTTCCATTAAGTAAGAACCATCTTTAGGATGAGGCATGTACATTTTATCTATGATTGCCAGTTTAGCAAATTAAAATACAGGATACTCAAGGTTCTAATTTTATATTGACAAATAATTTTAGTACATACAGTTCCATATGTGTAATTTATCTGGCAATTTTAATTTTATCATGTTAAGGAAGTATCTATTTATTGCAATTTTATTTAATTTTTTATAGGAAGTAGCTGTTGAATTTTTAAAAGGCTTTTTAGCATCTGTGTAGGTAATCATATTTTTCTCCTCAGACACATTAGTATGGTATTCTCTATTAACAAGTTTCCTAACAGAATCCTAATCTGATTCTTGCACTACTGGTTTAAACACACACACACACACACACACACACACACACACACACCAGGTTATGATGTATTATTTTCCTACTGGTTTGGGAATCTACTTCTAATATTACATTTAAAATTTTTATATCAGTTGCCATAAATGATATAGGTCTTTGGCTTTCTTTTTGTGCTTCCATCAGGATTAGGTGTTCATGAAATACCTACTCATTATAATTTGTAAATTTTTCATTATTTGCTATATTCTGAAACAAATTTAAAATATTGGGACTACCTGATTTTTAAAAGTGTACTTGAATCTCCCTGTGCAACTATCTAGGTCTGGTACCCCTTTGTGCTTTTCTTGTTATTTCTCAAAAGCTTTTCTTCTTCTGTGAATATTGATTGGTTTAAGCTTCTCTCTCCACTTGCATCAATTTGGGCAACAAAAAAAAAAAATTACTAATTTTATCATTTTTTTAAAAAAAAGGAAAAAAAAACACAAATACCAGCAAAACAAAAACCTATTGGCTCATACAAACTTTCTCATATAATTAATTGCCTTTGGTTGGCTGTTAATATCAAGACACTATCTAAAAATAGATTTTAAGCTGAAACCGGTTTGGCTCAATGGATAGAGCGTTGGCTTGGGGACTGAAAGGTCCCGGGTTTGATTCAGGTCAAGAGCATGTACCTTGGTTGCGGGCATATCCCCAGTAGGGGGTGTGCAAGAGGCAGCTGATCGGTGACTCTCTCTCATTGATGTTTCTAACTATCTCTCTCTCCCTTCTTCTCTGTACAAAATCAATAAAATATATATTTTTTAAAAAATAAAAAATAAAAATAGATTTTAAGGTAATTAAGGGGGGGAAAGCATAGGATAGTTTTAATGGGAAAAGCCTGCCCAGATTTAGTCCCCATTATATATTTATATAAAAGCCCAATGACTGGAAAGGTAGAACAACCAGAATGACCAGTGGCTATGACATGCACTGTGGCAGCCTACCAGCCTGATCTGGGCACCAAATGCAAACCCCCCTCCCCAGCTGACCTGACCCCCAATTAGCCCCCAACACCCCAATCAGGGGCAGTGCCAGACACCAATCATCCTTGACACCCCCCTCCAAGGACCTGGCTGGATGGGTTCCCATCAGGGTGGGCTGGCCAGACCTCACCCATGCATAAATTCGTACACTGGGCCTCTGGCTTGTTCATAGTTGTTGCAATTCTGCCAGAGGGTGGAGGGTCCAGTTAAGAGTACATAACAAACTCCAAGACAGTTTTACACCCAAGTGAGTAGAGGGTTTCTCTTTTCCTTCTACCATGGGTGTGACCACATTTACAATTGCGACTACTATTAGTATTATTACCACATGACTACTTATTTCAATAGTAAATAGTGCAAGTGTTGTAGATTTATCTCAATACCTGAGAGACATTTGGGCAACAGAATTTCAATTATGTCTCAATGTTTGCAGAACTTCTTTTTACTTGGAAAAAAAAAAGAGTGTTTAAGAAAAAAAGATTTCACTAAATCTGGTTTGAATGTGGTTTTTACAAAATTACTTGCTATAGTGAGTCAGAAGCTTAAACATAATTTGCCTTCGTGTGTAGGTTTGAAAAAAAAAAAAAGTATTTCTAAGAAGCAAAGTCAATATGAAAGCTATAAACCAAATGCCCAAACCAACCAATCAGCACTGTTTACTCTGCTATATCCTAGATGAGTGTCCAAAGCTCTCCAAACCTCTCCTCCCTCTGACCTCAGACCAGAGGCCATGTGGGTGAGTGAGACCCTCAAACACCCAGCATTGGGGATGGGAATGGAAGCGGGGACATCTCCCCTGGTCACATTAGGAAGAGTTTCTAGAAATGCTTTGTGCTGACCACCACAACTCTTATTCTGCAATCAGTCCATTAAGACAGCAGCTATGGGGTTAATCTTCAAGGCTGTCATTTAACTTCTTTTTTTTTTTTCCTTCTAGCATCTGCCACTCGGGTATTTTGGTCAGCATTCAAATGCCTCTTTCTGAGCGCCAAAGCAGCATTCCTTTGGGAATCACCTCAGCTTTTCAGTCACAGTCAGTGATATGTCAGACAGCATCCTTTAACACTGTCCCACTTTCTGGTCCTACCCCTTCAGGAGTTTTGTTTGAGTCTTGGGTGGTAGACTATGAAGTCCAAGTAGGCACCTTTTCAAGGAATGTTGACATCTTTTCAAAAAATGCTGTACCTGGACTTAGCTTTAATTTTTTCATACTAGCTTGAAATATGCTCTGGCAAATTTAATTTTAAAAATTCACAATTTAAGTCAAATTAAAATCTATTTTAACATACATATAGTGTCTTTTTCACTCCCCCTCACCAGCTTTGAGATATAACTTCTTTTTCTCTAAAAGGCGAGAATGAAATGGACACACGAACAGTTCATCTTGCATATTCTCTTTATACATTGATATGTAATACACTTCATACTGAGATAAATGTGCATTTTTGGCATTCAAGGATAAAACAGCAGTATGAATTAAGATTTTCATACCTGACTAAAACTCAATAGAATAACAAAAAGAATAGGAGATCTTTATGGACTCCTATAAGAAACTGATGGACCAGGTAGACAAAAATTAGTAAGGACTCAAAAGACTTGAACAAGTACATTTAAAAGGCTGACATAAGGGAGTCCTGTACACAATAAATAGGAATATTTTAAGAATACATTTTAAAAGCATAATACATTTATAAAAACAAATTAATGCAACATATTTTAAAATACATATATAGACTATACATCTCAAATTTTTATGAAACGTAAGAATTCAAAACAGTTCTCAAATTTTATTACAGAAAGTTCTCTAACAATGTAATTAAATAAGCAATCAACAATAAAATGTGGCAAATCAATATATACTTTTAAAAACTCATACACATTCCCAAATAACTAATGAGTTAAAAAGGTAATAAGAGACAGTATGAAGTCTTTCTTTTTTTAGAACTGAATGACTATCAGAATATATACATATCAATATGTTTTATAATCAGATCAATGGCATTTAGGCATAAGTTTATCAGACCTTGGCTTGCTTCAACTTTTGCTTTCTGTTTCTTTAGATGTCTTAATAAAATGTATTAGGACATACACCAATTCATACTGAATGTCAAGTTTCTGAACTTTTAGCTATTTATTGAGATTATGTAATAGCATCACTATCTATGTCAACAAAATACATTTCTCAATTTTTAAAAGCTTCTGTGCCTTTACTATTTTAATATTAAATTTTAAGAGTACAAACATCATAAAAATGTTCTAATTTTTCTAGACATAAGGGATGTTTAATACTTTCAATTCCACTAGTTTGTTCACTGTTTTTTTTCCTTTTCTATATAATTATATACTTTCATTAGTACAATGTCTGACATATGCCATTTAGAAAGCACAGTTTCTGAGGTCCCAAGGTACTACAGAGTTTCTTCTTGTTATGATTATTAGTTTCATATTTCCTGAAATACAAATAACAAATCTGTAAATAATGTTGTAATGAACATAGGGGTGGATATATTCTTTCAAATGGAAGCAACCTAAGCGCCCATAAATAGACAAGTGGATAAAAAAAGCTGTGGTCCTAAATACAATGGAGTTTACTTAGCCATAAAAAAGAAATTTTACCATTTGTAACAACATGGGTGTACCTAGAAAGTGAAAGAGGTCAGTCAGACAAGTGTTGTCGAGGTTTCAGAGAAAAAGGAACCCTTGTGCACTGCTGGTGGGAATGCAGACTGGTGCAACCACTGTGGAGAACAGTATGGAGTTTCTTCAAAAAACTGAAAATGGAACTCCCATTTGACCCAGTAATCCCACTCCTAGGAATATATCCCAAGAAGCTAAAAACACCAAACAGAAAGGATATATGCACCCCTATGTTCATAGCAGCACAATTTACAATAACTAGGATTTGGAAACAGCCCAGGTGCCCGTCAGCAGATGAATGGATCAAAAAACTATGGTACATCTACACAATGGAATACTATGCTGCCATAAAAAAGAAGGAATTCTTATCATTTGCAGGAACCTGGATGGAATTGGAGAACATTATGCTGAGTGAAATAAGCCAGTCAATGAATGAGAAACACCACATGACCTCACTCATTTATGGATAATAAAGAACATTATAAACTGATGAACAAAAGATAAGATACAGAGACAGTAAAGCAACAAACAGACTGTCAAATTACAGCAGGAAGGCTGGGAAGGGTTGGAGTAAAAGGGGGAGGTAAGAGATCAACTGAAGGACTTGTATGCATGCATATAAGCAAAACCAAAGGACGAAAAACTCTGGCAAGGGGGAGAGGGCATGTATGGGAGTAGGGGGGGCAATGGAAAGATATGTACACATATAATACCATAATAAAAAAATAGCAAAAAAATTTTTAAATAGAGGTCAGTCAGAAAGACAAATACCATATGATTTCACTCACAGTACTTGTGAAATCTAAAGAACAATATAAATGAACAAAACAGAAAAGACTCATAGATACAGAGAACAGACTGATGGTAGCCAGGCGGGAGGGATATTGGGGTGATGGGTGAAAAGGTGAAAGGATTGAGAATTACAGATTGTAGTCACAGAATAGTCACAGGGATGTAAAGTCCAGTATAGGGAATAAAGTCAGTAATATCATATTAAGTATGTACAGTGCCAGGTGGGTACTGGAAATATCGGGAGGAACACTTTGTAAATTATATGATCATATAACCACTATGCAGAACACCTGAAACTAAAACATAATAATATTGAATGTAAACTATGATTTAAAAAATTATAAAACTGTAACATCTAGAAATATTAATTCAAGAGGATGAAATTATTTTCATGACAAATACTTGATTATATTCTTTCATTTTTCTGTCCTTTTGACACCTATTAAATAGAGAAGATTACATTGGCAGAAGATATAACTCTTGAGATATATGAGACAATGTCAGTTTTAATATTGCCGTGGTGTTAAAATAATTCAAAGTAGATTTCCACCACTGGGAAATCTGTATTGTTGGATTGTTATTACAGCCAACAAACTGCTCTAGATAAGGTACAAATATTTTAAACCTCCATTTTATTTTATTTTTACAATTTAAAGTATCAATAAAGAAAATATTTAGGGAAACAAGAAAATACAATAATCTTTTAACAGAAATATAGGAAAGAAAACTAGAGAATAAATGTAAAATGAGGAATGGAGAATAATGCTGTGAATATAAGATAAGTATTATATATTTCCATAAAACTAGTTTTGGATTTTTTTGTTCACCAAAGAGGGGGGGAAAAACTCACAATGAACCAAAAGAACCCTGACAATTCTCTGGCAAAGAATTTCTGTTTTCTAATTCCAAATTCTGAGAGAAACTTGTCACATGTGACTTTATATAAGAGAGATATAAAACTTTAACAGTTTTAAAGAAAATGCAAACATTCCATATGTCATTGGTTAATACATGTCAAGGGCATAAACTTATGGCTCCCTCCATCACCTCCAACTATGCTTAGATTTAGCAACAATTACAAAACAAATGTATCGCGTGCGCGCGCGCACACACACACACACACACACACACACACACACACACAAAGTCAATACTTAACTGAAATTCAAAGTAACTGTAAGTTCTTTACAGTATATCTCCAACAGATGGAAATACTTTGCCTTATGCCCAGAGCAATGCAGTAAAAGGCAAATTACTTGTCATATGGGAGGAAGCAAAAGCAAATTATACTAATTCAACTGCTTCCACTGCAGTAAAAGGAAAATGACTTCTCACGTAGGAGGAAGCTTATCAAATTATATAAGTTCCACTGCTTTCAGAAAGTATTGGTACTAAAATATTTTAGTTGTTTCTAAAAGAAATTTTTGGAAGTTTATTATAGATGTAGAAAAGAAAATGATAACGAACCTTTAAATTGAAAATGGGCAAGATTTTTACATTTCAAAAACTAAAAAAAAGTATCACTAAGATAAAGTTGTTTCATTAAATTATTTTTGAACTACAAAGTAGATAAACTATTTTTTTTCTGCTTATTAAACTATAGCTTACATTTAAAAGGGTTTTTTTTGAGACATGTAATATATAATTTAACTTGCTAGGGAAAAACTTACATAAAGTTGTGTTTAAAAAAAGAAGACTGAATTATGGAATGAATATTAAGGAAAACATAAGAAAAATGTTGGTCCTAAATAAAGAAAAGAGGAAGATAATCTCTATGGGCCCACAAGTAAATCTTATTTTACTTAATAAAATTGAATTTTTTTAAAAGCTGTCCTGGCCAGGTGGCTCAGTTAGTTGAAGCACTGTCCCATGTACCAAAGGGTTTCAGGTATGATTTCTGGTCAGGGCACATACCTAGGTTGTGAGTTTGGATCTCCCCACCCTGGTTGGAGCATGTATGGGAGCCAACTGATTAATGTTTCTCTCTCACACCAATGTTTATCTCTCTCTACCTCTTCCTCTCTCTCTCTCTCTAAAATCAATGAGCATATCTTCAGGTGAGGATTAGAAAAAGAAAAGTTTAAAACTGAAATGAAATATCCAAACTCTTGGTTCAAGATGGTGGATGGCTAGACCTCAATGCAATGACAGTAAATGCATTAAAAAGGTGAAACTCCAAAGGGTTAAGGATGCAGGGGGACTCTTACCCTAGGAGACCTTTCATCAAACTGATGAGAGAGATAAACGTAATGGGAGAGAACGGACTGACAAAGAGGGGGATGAGGAATCTGTGCCTAGACACATGGTTGGGAGCTACAGTGGAGATGGCAGATTTGGCAAAAGATGGGAGCTAAACTGGGTAAACCGTGAGAATAAAATGAGAGTCTGTGTCAGAAGCATTGACTACCCAAACCTAAGCAGCCAGGACTTTCTGGCTCAGGCAACGCACACATACCCAGGCTTCTCTAACCAAAGTGGAATCAGCCATCTGATAAAACCAAAGCAAGCACCTGTGCCCAGAACAAAGCACCCTGCATCCTGGCACGCTGGTGCTCCTTCTCTCAAACCACTAGGCAAACACACACACACACACACACACACACACACACACACACACTCTCTCTCTCACACACCCACACACACAAATAGCAACCTAGCCACTTAAGTACACTAGTACAGTTTGCAAACTAACAAATTCTATATACCTATATGCCAAAACTTCCTAGGAAGCCTCCTTCATTCTTACATTTTTATAAATAAATATGAGGATATGTGTAGTGTGGGGAACAGGCAAGAAAAGAAAATTTACCCATATTGCCACCACTCAAAATTGACCAATATTAACAATAATAAAAGCGTAATATGCTAATTAGATAGGACAGCCGAAAGACCTTCTGGACATCATTCCAGTCGTCCTTTCTGACGAAGCCATGGTGGTGGGGGCTGAGGCAGAAGTGGTTAGGGATGATCAGGCAGGCATCCAGGAGTAGTTAGGGATGATCAGACAGGCAGGTGGAGTGGTTAGGGGCGATCAGGCAAGCAGGCAGAGGGGTTAGGGGTAATCAGGCAGGCAGGTGAGCAATTAGGAACCAGCAGTCCTGGATTGTGAGAAGGAGCAATCTTGGCTGAGGGACACCCCCCGCTCCCCCCATGCATGAATTTTGTGCACTGGGCCTCTAGTTTTTTATGATCTCATTAAAATTCAACAGACAATCATGAATCACTAAATATTTGAGAAAGCATGTGACAGAGAAAGATAAAAATAAACAAGCAAACACTCTTAAGAAAATGTAAGGGCAAGCCATAGCATAATGTGTCAGAGATTCATTCATATTGTTGTATCTATTGGTACAAATAAGGCCTTAAACTCAGATCTATTGTCTCCAAATTCACTGTATATCTACGGTATATGATAAAAAAGGGAAAGGAAATACTGATTGATTCTTCTAAAATAGAATATTATGGAGTGTATCAGAAAATTATATGCACAGCCTGGCCACATGTGGTTTGGATTCCTGGTCAGGGCCCATGTCCCAGTTGCAGGCTCTATCTCCGGTGGAGGGAGGGGAGCATGCAGGAGGCAGTTGATGGATGATTCTCTCTCATCACTGATTTCTCTCTCTCTCTCTCTCCCCCCCTCTCCCTTCCTCTCTGAAATAAATTTTAAAATATTATTTAAAAAGTTATATGTACAAAACTCTAATACACAGAATATACAATATGATTAACATCTGATAATATTCTATATAGTTATACAGTATATCTTTTCTATACTTACCAGTTTATAATTGAAGATTTAACTTTTTAAAAATATGACATAGTTGCTTATCTACTATGAAGAAGGTTGGAAAATAGTCTAATCCTTGTTATGCCATTTTTTTCCAAAGAATTCTGATCATTATAAAAGGTGTTAGAATTATGTAATTCCTAATAGTAGATATCCTGTTAGAAATTAAAAAATAATTTAAATATAATCACTTTGACATAGGATTAAGATATTACATGTTCTTATTTATTTTATGTGGTATGGAATACAAAAAAAGAAAAAAAAACTAAGATTATAACATCAAAAGGTTAGTGATTAGATTTACATTCTACTGAATCTGTTGTGAATTTACAAAGGTTAAGATTAAAATATCTTACTCGGCAAAAAAAATCCTATATAGTAAAGAGCTAATATGCTAATTAGACTGGACAGCAGAACAGCCATTTTGATGACCTTCCGGATGAAGCCAGGGCTGCTGAGCCCCTTACATTGGGCCTCTAGTATATATATAATGGGAGAAAAATATCCCATTGTAACAGCACCAACAAATAGAATGGCATAGGCTAACTTCTTTCTGTATCATCTATGGCTATGTTTCATGTATTTTGATGGTATTACTTTTTACATAAAGATTCCTAACAGTTAAATTTTCATTATCCCTGATACTTGTCTTGTTTAACCAACACTTTGTATCTTGAATTCTACCTTCCCTGAAAGCTAATAGCTAACATTTACTGAGTTTACACTGTGAAGGCTAAAGCATAATAAAGATATTTAACCATATAATAAACACACAATGAAAGAGAAGGTGGAAAGAAGGTCATAAATAATTGATGAAATGATGGGAGGATACAGATGTGCCTTTCTCTCAATTCAACTAAGGATTAAAGCAACCATTTGCTTTGCTGTGTGCAGACCTGTCAATAGTATTTCAAATACAAAAGAAATCTGAAGGATTATCTCATTTAAACTCCTTGTTTATAGGTGAAGAGAGCACACAGGAGCGGTAGGCCTTGCCCAAAACCATATATATAGGCATCATAACTAAAAATGCAGTGTTTTGACTCTGAAGTCTTTGCTTCTTCCACCCCACCAAGATGCTGAAGTCAATTACAAATTGTTTCCAAAAAGAAGGAAAATTTACAAATGACTATAAAACAAACTGCTGAATTTTTGTTTATCTGGTAAATAGTGGCCTGAAATAAGAATGAAAATACATTTGAATTTAATAGCAGGAGCATTTTATTTTGAAATATTCCTAAATAATTTTTAATATTATTTCATTTAAAATAACAAAATAATTAACTTTATGATTTTCAAAACACTGTTTTAGTCTTACTCTTTAAATTGCACAGCTGGAAACAGTGAGGCAAAGTGTACATAGGCTGAATTTTCCAACCATGATAGATAACTTGGGTCTTGAAAAGATGATTGGTCTTCACAATATACAGTCTGGCATAAGATGAGTTGTAGCTAAATAACCATATTTCACAGTCTCGCTCATGTCTGATCACTTCTTTTCTAAATAATAGCTTATAAGTTCATAAAACATTATTTCTTTTTCAACTACCATTTCAAAATCTTACTTTTAAATATTGTTTAGTTTCACGAAGTGATGACTGTATGCCCACATGCTGGAAAAGGGAAGGTCTATATTGAATACGAATTTGCTTATTTCGTTCTGCACATTTCTCCTGGGGAAAAAGAGAAACAATAATCTTTGCTTAAAACTCACAAACTCTTTTTTAAAATATGTTTTTATTGATTCAGAGAGAGGAAGGGAGAGGGAGAGAGAGAGACATCAATGATGAGAGAGAATCCTTGATCAGCTGCCTCCTACACACCCCCTACTGGGGATCCAGCCTACAACCTGAGCCTGCGCCCTAAACGGAACCATGACCTCCTGGTTCATAGGTTAATACTCAACCAATGACCCACACCATCCAGGCCTCAAATACTTCTTTTTATTGCATTTACTGACAGAAATACCTTTATTATGCTTTAGCCATCAGCCTATATTAAATTTTTAAAAATTTTAACAAAACATTTAATTCTTAGCTTTTTCTTCACAGAAATGACAGAACAAAAGAGTTGAAATACAAAAGGGCTTTAATTAAAGCAAGTATTTTCATGAACTCTATCTTAGAAAGCCAGGCTATTGTACCAAGTACAATCTCCCTCCCTACCCACCCTCGCCCTATCTGCAAGACTTCCAGTGGATACCTAAAACCACAAATAGTACTAAACCCTATATATACTATGTTTATTCTTATACGTGCATACCTCTGATAAAGTTTAATTTCTAAATTAGACACAGTAAGAGATTAACAATAATAACTAATAAAATAGAACAATTATAAAAACTTACTGGAATAAAAGTTATGTGAATGTAGCATTATTAAGTAAAATAAGGATTAACTGAACACGATACTATGAAAGTGGATCTGATAGCTGAGCTGACTCCTAAGTGACTAATGGGAAGAAGCATATACAAGGTGGAGATGCTGGGCGAAGGGCTGGTGCCGTCCTGGGGGGAACGAATCTGGACAGCGCAAGGTTTCATCACACTACTCAGAACGGTGTGCAATTTAAAACGAATGAATTGGTTATTTTTGGAATTTTCCGTTTAATATTTTTAGACTGTGGTTGACCTTGGATAACTAAAACCGTGAGAATTAAAACCACAAATAAAGGGGAGATACTGTATAATTTTCCTCTCCCTTTCTCTTTATTCAAAACATAAATGAAGTTTTTGGTGTTTTCCTACCTTCCTATTTCCCTCAGACTACATTATTCTTTCTCTTCCCATATTCATTAATACCTACACTAAATTGTACTATCTCGGTTTGGTTTTGTTTTTTAAAAGTAGAAAGTGTAGGATTAAAACGAAGCCAATATTATAGTTAATGAAAAGAGATTTGGATAATCTCCTTAAAAATAAAAATAAGGTGACCGTGCCATCACTCCTATTAAAAACAAACATTTGAAATTATTCTGCTTCCTGAAAATTATTTTGTATACTGTATTTACAGAAAATTCATTAAAATACATCTCCAATCTAGATACATAGTAATTTTTACTATTGCAGGCTTACTGAAATGCTTTTCTACTCAGTACTAACATGCAGTTTGATTTCTCCTTCCAGTTCTGTTATCTTTTGCTTCATGTATTTTGAGGCTCTTTCATAAGATGCATACACTTTTAGGATTGCTGTATCATCTTAACTCTTTTATCAATATATATAATATCTTTCTTGATCCCTGGGCAATTTTTCTTTTGCTTTGAAATCTACTTTGATATTAATATAGCTACTACAGATTTCCTTTTACTAGTGTCTGCATAGAACATCTTTTTCATCTTTTTCAAAAATATATATTTATTGATTTCAGAGAGCAAAGGAGAAGGGGGAGAGAGAGAGAGAGAGAGAAACATCAATGATGAGAAAAAATCATTGATCAGCTGAGCTGCACGCCCTCTACTGGGAATCAAGCCTGCTTGAAGGGAATTGAACTCAGGACCCTTAAGTTCGCAGGCTGATGCTCTATCCACTGAGCCAAACTGGCTAGGGCTCTTTTTTCATCTTTTACTTTTAACCTATCTATAGCATATCTAAATTGAGTACAGACAGCAATTAATTGGATAGGATTCAATTCTGATAAACTGTCTCTTAGTTGGTACACTTTGGCTGTTTATATTTGGAGTAAATACTGACATGTTTGGATTTAGACTTACCATTTTATTGCCTTTTTTCTGTTTCTTCACTTTTTGTGTTCCTTTGGTTTGGCAAACAAATTTTAGGTAAATGTATTAGACAGATAGTATTCTTCTAAAATATTTGGTATTTACAAAGTAAAAACATACTCACAAAAGTTTCTCTTGGGTTACACATCTTCACCTTAAAAATGTCCTCCAACAGCCAGTCTATGGGTCTATCTTTGTGGAACATTAAAAAAAATTGTATGAAGTCAGTTAAGTCCTCAGATTTAAATAGCTTTCCTATGGAGAAAAAATAACCAAAGCAAGTGATTTACTGATGGAAATAGTTGATTTAATATTTATGTTTTCCTTGTCTTTGTTAGTATATTATAAAATCCTATTTAGCAAGCTCATATTTTTAGAAAATATCAGCTAAAGAACTGTTATGACTTTAAAAAGACTTTGTAAAGTTAGTCTTAAAGACTTCAGCATCACATACATGCTATGATGATATTTCTTTTTCTTTTATGAAAGAAATATTCATAAAAGAAAAAGAAATATCATCCTTGTTCAATGTTCCCTTGTGGTGATCAGAAAGTGAATATTTTCTGTCTTTCTCATAACTGACTTTGCTGAGAAAGATAAAAAGAATTTAAAATTCTCAGAATAACATGTCAACAAAATTGTTTTCTCTGCAAATATTTTCTCTGCAAAAAAATTTCTCTGCAAAAAAAAAAAATTTTTTTGCTGGGAAAAATCAAATGTTATCAAGCATATGGGGAAGCAGGTGCTCACCTCACTGCTTATGGGCATATGCACTGTTCAGCCAATATGTGAGGCAACCTGGCGGTACTTAGAGACCCAGCTAATTTGCTCTCAGTGATCCCACTCCAGGAGGCATATATGTCACTTCATTTCTTTGTGGTGCAGAGTTGCAGATCATCAAGGTCCACCACTCTGGGAATGGATGAGCCAAATGGAGTGTTAGGTAGCACTTACCCAGCAGTAAGAAGCAATGAACTAAACAAACATAAAGCAACATGCTGAGTTTTAACATCTAGTTTTGAGGACAAAAATATAAGTAACAGGGAGAGGTTCATCACTTCACCACTTATGTCAATTTTAAACAGGTACAAACATGATCACATCAAATATTTTAGATGGGTATATGTATGCCTATATTATATTTTGCACATATTAGAGTGAAAACCTATTGGAGGGGTGATAGGAAGTGGGAATATGAATTGGGCATAAAACAAAAGAATAAAATAAGAGAGTGCCCCTGCCTGAGCAATGAAAACACACACCACAAAGAGAGCGTGGTACTTCAGCCTGCTGCTGTCAGAGCCAGATTAAAAAAAAAAAAAAAAAAAAAAAATTGAAGGGGAAAAAAGAAAGAAAAAGGAAAAGTCCACAGACAATTGTAAAATTAAAAAATCTCATCATGTGCACAATTTTGGGAACTTTTCTTGGTGAATATAACTCATATACTTCTTTTTTTATATATGTCACTTTTGGAATAAAGGAATTATAGGAACTTCACAGTACAATAGTCCTAAGTTAAAAATTTTTTCTCTGCAACTGTTTTTTGCATGTCTTTTTCTATGTAAAGTCTTCTTAGTCACTGAGCTAACCTGAGTGCCAGACTCACAGCAAGCATTTAACAAGAGGTAATATCTTAACATTTTTGACATAGGCATATATGTCAATCAGCTTATTTATATTTCCCATCCAGAAAAAAAAATTGGTTTAAAAATACATTTTCTGAAGTTTAGATCCTTGAATGTGATTTTACTAGTAAAGTAATTGTATTTTTGTAGAAATCATGCTATTCCTTTTCATTTTGTAACAAACTTTTTGATAAGTTCTTAAGAACTCTTAAGGTTATCATGCTAAAAAGCTGGACCCCACAAAATTGACTCATTGCTTACCTATGAATCCAAGAACTGAAAACTCAATATAAAACCAATTATTTGAAGTGATACTATGTACAAAATCTGTGATTTTTGTAAAGTACATCTTTTTAGCTATGATGTCATCTTCTAGCTGGGAGGGGGGAAAAACAAAAAGGCATTAGTATCTTTGGTGCTTCCATTGAATAATTTATATTAGCTTGAAAATTGAAAATGCTTTCTATAGACTACATTGAAAAATGTTTTTATAAGGTAATAATTTTATTTATAGTTTAGTTCACAGAGGATATTTATTGTTAGTCAATTTTCATTTTCTGATTCTAAAACCAGAGATTATCTCTTTCTTTCCTGAATGCTGACATGTAACATTCATTCACTCTAAATTTTCTTTGGAGGATTGACAGTAAACCTCAAAATAGTTCTCAATGGGAGGATAGAAACTAGATTTTCCTTTTTAAATTTAATATATTTTTATTGATTTCAGAGAGGAAGAGATAGATAGAAATATCAATGATGAGAATCCTTGATCACTGCCTCCTGCACACCTCCTACTGGAGATTTAGCCAAAATATGGGCATGTGTCCTGACCGAAATCAAACCATAGCTTCCTAGTTCATAAGTCGACACTCAACCACCAAGTCATACCAAACAGGCTTTTTTTTTTTTTAATTTAATAAATATTATGCATAATCTCCAGACTCAGGGGGCCTCCTAAATGACTTAGCAGAAGAACGTGGAAGTCCTCAGGCACATTACCAGAGCACAAAACAGAGCTGTGTTGTTTCTAAAGGTACACTGGCTGGATGTCATGTTTCAATTCCATTGTTGCTAACTAGGAATCAAGAAGGGTTTTTTATTTTCTTCCAATAAAAGAGAAGACCTTTCTTCAGGCCTTTTTCTAACTCTGTTCCTGAATGACATTCTTCAAACTCTTGTCACAACTGCACAGTGTCTCATGTAGTGAGGATACACTTACTGGTGGGAAACATAACATTACTATTTAACAATATGCAGGAACTCAGGGGGTAAAACTATAGGTAATTGATTTACTTCATAAATACAGCATAGGCATTATATAACTATCCTATATAATAAAAGCCTAATATGCTAAGTGTCTGACCATTTGACCATTCTATCACTGACCAGTGCACTGACCACCAGAGGGCAGACACTCCAACCAGTAGGTTAGCTTGCTGGTGAGGTCTGGCCAATAGGGACTGGGCTAGACAGGCAGGACATGCCCTGGAGCCCTCCATGGTCCCTCCCCAGCCTGGACCGTGCACCAGTGGGGTCTCTTGGCCTGGTCTGCATCTTCTCACAATCCAGGACCCCTCGGGGGATGTCAGAGAGCAGTTTGAGCCTGATCCCCTCAGGCCAGGCCGAGGAACCCCACCTGTGCATGAATTCATACACTGGGCCTCTAGTCCTATATAAGAAAGAGGGAATATGCAAATTGACTGTCACTCTGCCACAAAGATGGCGGTGCCCACAGCGAAGGTAGGGGTTTCTGGAATACAAGATGGCTGCACCCACGGTGGAGGCTGAGTTCCTGTAAAGAGCCTTGACAAGCAATCAGCAGGGTCCTGAGGCTGCTCCCCACCCCTGCTCCCATAGGGCTTGACTGGGAACCTCAGGCTGTCCCACCCACCTGGCAGGGCTTGATGGGGGACCATAGGCCGCACCCCTGGCCCAGCAGGGCTTGACAGGGGACCTGAAGCTGCACGCCCCTCCCGGCACCAGGCTGGGGAACCTGAGGCTGCATCCCCCGCCCAATGGAGTTTGATGGGGGTCCTTAAGGCATGCCCTCACCCCAACCCAGGCCAGTGGACCTCAGGCTGTGCACCCCCCCCCCCGGTCCGCCCACCAGGGGACTTGAGGTTGCATCCCTCCCCCCCCAACTGACAGGGCTTGACAAGGGTGGGACCAGCTAAGTCTGGATATAGCCCAATGGTGGGGCCTGGCTGGGTCTGGGTCTTATGCGATTTTGAGGTGCACATGTGTGGGCAATGACTTGACTCTGGCTCCCATGGTGTGCCCCAGACTCTGACAGGAGGAAGGTTTTTATATACATTTTACTAATTTTCTTTCATCACTGTCACTTCTATTATAGAGAAAGGGCAAATAGCAATATTAAAATATTTCCCCTAATTAATCCCCTTTTAATTAATCCCAGTGCATGAATTTTATGCACTGGGCCACTAGTATTACCCATAAAATCTGAAGCTATGTAGAATATCAAGGATAAGCATATACACAGTCCAACTTATAACAAGTACTCAAATTATGTTTATTTAAAACAATAAACTTGTAGGCAGACAAATGTAGGCAGTACAATTTCTTTCTTTTTTTTTCTAGATAAATTATTTTCATTTTGCTTCTGGTAACCATATTTTCTTCTGTTAATAGTGACCCCAGAAAGAAGACTAATATATAATCAATTTTAAGTTTCCTTGCGGTGTTTTAATATAGTGAGTATTTTCTATTTTATTATTATAAAGGAGGGTGGAGGAATACAATGAAGTAGAAAGGAATCAAGAGAGAGAGAACTTCTACTTTATATTTATATCAAGATCATACCTGTAGATAATACATGGCCTTCGGTTGGGCATACAGCATCAAAAAACAAAAATCCAAAACTTGTTTCATTTGCCAACTAAAGATAAGTAATAAAATCTGTTAATATTTGTCATTATTTAATTTTGCTTATAGGCATACTTTGGAAATTAAAAACATAAAACAACTGTCTCTCTGTGTGAGACAGGGGGTCAGCCCTGCTTTGTAGCTTTTGCCCATTTCTGTGGTGTAAATGCTCCTGATTTCATGTTACCAACTTTTGTCACTGAATACATGAATACAGGGTTGAGAATTGATCCAGCAAGTCAATAGGAGCTGGCTGCGTTTGAAATAGGTTCTATTAGATGCTGACTCCAACATTTCATCAAATGAAGTTGATTACTTAAGGCTACAGTTTTCAAAATGTCATACCTCTTTCGTTTTTGTAAATCCTCAGTTGACTGCATGGCATGTAACATGTCTGGATAAAAAAAGGCAGGTATTGAAATTACCTCTAAGGATCCAGACTTCACTTGCCTTTTGAATCTATCAATAGAAGTAAATGGAGGTTTGTAATTGAATATTTGATATATCAAAATAACAAATACTTAAGAGGAATTTTCTTATACATGTCCACATGATATTTTTATTAGAATTATTTCACATGTTGATGCATGATACTAATATCATAAAACTAATACTCCTTAGCCAAAGTATTTATTTTATAAATCAGAGAGAGACATCAAAAAATTAAAATGCATGTTCTAGGATGTATTTATCTTTCCAAAAATCTACATGCTCCCCTTTGGCCTTTCTGCCTTCCAGGCAATTCTATTTGCCAGGCATTCCCTTCCTCCTTTTGTCTGCTTGAAGAGTAGCTACTTACACGCTTAGACTTAGCCCAATTGTTACCTTCTCAAGAAAGTGGTTCTTGATATTTTCAGATAATGTGAAATGCTATCTACTCTATATGTTTTCATATTGCCCTCCCTAGACACCACAATAATAGTAGCCTCTTGTGATTTGGTTTTTTCCAATTTCATCACCCACTGGAACATAGAGATTTGGAAGGCTGGGTCCATTCTACAACATCATGCTTGATAGTTTCATATTGGTTCATCAGTGTTTTCATCTCCTGGGCTGCATACAGCAGGAGACTGTAAGCAGGAGCAGTGAAAGTAGCTTCATACAGTAAAAAACACAAGAATGTTTTTTAAAGATAAGCCAGTAGGCTTCTCACAGAGAGAATAGATTTCATGGAGAATAGATATTATAACAATAACAACATGAAAAATATGGAATTTAATAGGTAGATAACCTACATAATGGAGAAAAATTATAAGCTATACTTCATCACAGCTGAGATAGAACTGTAGAGCACAGAGATACACATTAAAACGAATACGATCCTAATATATAAAAAGCCAAGGGCTGTCACGACCAAAACAACCAGACAGACGACCAAACAGCAGGCTGCATGGGGCAATAAGGCTGGCAGGGTGGTTAGTGTGTGGTGACCAGGATGGCAGGGGGTTTAGTGAGGGACGACCAAATGAATGAACAGCAGGCTCCATGGAGCAGTTAGAAGTGACCAAGCCAATGGGGGGGGAGCAGTTGGGGGTGACCAGGTGGCAGGGGGGCAGTTGGGGTGACCAGGCCAATGGGGGGGCAGTTGGGGGCAACCAGGCTGGCAGACAGGTGAGAAGGATATAAATAAAAGATTATATTATATATTTGCAGTCCCCGATTGTGAGAAGGATGTCCCCAGGATCAGGCCTTAACCTGCAGTTGGACATTCCCCGAGGGGTCCCAGATTGAAGAGGGTGCAGGCTGGGCTGAGGGGGACTCCTCCCACCCCATGCATGAATTTCATGTACCGGGTCTCTAGTCACTAGTACAGAATAAACAGGATAGCAAAATGAAAGAACAGCCAGTTAAAAATGTATCCAACAATACTTACGTTTTTCTAATCATGTCAACAACAGATTTTGAATACTCTTTATTACTCTAAAAGTGAGAAAAATATTTTAATGAAACTAAGCATGCCCCATACTTCTATTAATAGATGTTTGCTACATATAAACCTAGTTTATGTGTGGAATGCCATTGTTTCCTAATCATTTCTAGTGTTTTCACTTTCTCTAAAGGAGTTTAAAGTATCCATGAGACTAAAAGATCTGACTTGAATATGAAAATGTCATTCTCTTTTTGTCACAATATGAAATATCACTACATGTTATTTACACTTAAAAATTTGTGGTATACAAAAGGTATGCATCTAAGCCAGTTTTGCCCTAAATGTCAGATGGCTTATCCCAAAGAATTTATCTTTTTTGAAAATATCTTCATTTTATAAGTATTATATGACAATAAGCTTACTTTGAAATTATTTCACTTTTTTCCAGACAGTATTACTCAGCTAAACTCTCAAATTTTATTCTATTGACAAAATTTGTACACCTACTCTTTATTGAGTATTGTGCTTAGATTAGATGACAGACTCATTTGTAAATAGTTTTTAGTGGTTTATTCCCTCAAATTATTTTTTTTACATAATAAATGACATTTACAAGATGTAGCCACAGGGTCTACAAGCAGTCTCTATATAAAATTCTGAAAATATTCTAAATAATAACCATTCCATTGTCAAATCTGAGTTCTCTAAAAGGCAATTCTGAATGTATGTAGTTAGGTTGTTTGTTAAAAATACATGTCATGATGCAAATAACTCTATTATAGTACTTAAGGTTCTTAAGACAGCCATAAATTGCACCTCTAGTTATTGTTACACACTGAAACATATTCTACTTTAAATACAGTGCTAAAGTTGTAATTCTTAAGCATTATATATTCCATTTAAAATTTGTCCCCTGTATTTTATTGGTCGATATGTTTTAGGCAGATGTACATTGTGTCAGCAGTAAATGAACAAAGCTTGTAATATGTAATACCAAAAAGGTGACAAAACACTTCAGAGATTAAGTATATGCTTTATAATATTAGGAAGTTAAATTTGGAAAAAAAGATTATTTAATCTTTTATTTATATTTTCCCAATAGTTCTTCTGTTATTTGTTTTGTTTAGAGTTTTTCTGCCTTCAAAGACATATTTATTATAGGAAATGCAAATAATAGAGAAAAGAATAAAGGACAACAACTCCCAACATCCAGAGATAACCATTATTATATTTTATACTTATATGTAAATATAAACTAATATTTATATATAGTTTTTTATACAACTACTAATTTTTAAATGTAAACCATTTTTTTATCATTTTGAAATTCTTGCCTGGCTATCTCCTTAGGATAACTTCCCAGAGTTGAGATTTCTGAGACAAAAGATATACACATTTTAAATCTGATACATGTTGCCAGATTCCCCTCCCAAAGGCCTTATCATGTTAATATTTATACAGTACTTATATAGCACTATGAGATAGAAAACTTTGGGGCCATTAGAGAGATGAACATTAGATATATTAATAACTAGGCAAATTACTTTCACAAACTCATTTCTTCATCTGCACAATCAGGATAGTACTACCTCCTTTACGGGTAATTACAGATGTAATGCAGGTTCTAAATAATGTATATAAAAATTGTCTACAATTCTTCAAATATAGAGAGAAGTCCCCCAATTAGTGGTAGTTATTATTTAATATAAATTATCTCTTGATTCCTATTCTAACCTTTTACTGGGCAGGTTTTATTACTATAACATCACTTTTAACATTCTGTTAGTAAATACCATATAGTATGTAAGGCCTCTTGTTACATTTTTTTAATGTATTTTTATTGATTTCAGAGAGGAAGGGAGACGAGGGAAGGAAAGAGAGATGAAATATCAACAATGAAAGAGAGTCATCAATCTGCTGCCTCCTGCACACCCCACACTGGCATATGCCCACATCCTAGGCATGTGCCCATACTAGGAATCAAACCATGACCTCCTGGTTCATAGGTCGATGCTCAACCACTAAGCCATGCTGGCAGGGCCTAGTTACATATTTAATAATCTTATTTCTCCACATGGAAATGTGGTATTTAAATGAACTTTAAAGATTGACATATTTAATTCTTTCTTGGTGGTGTAAAAAAAAAAAATATTGCCGAAACCGGTTTGGCTCAGTGGATAGAGCGTCGGTTTGGGGACTGAAAGGTCCCAGGTTCAATTCCGGTCAAGGGCATGTACATTGGTTGCGAGCACATTCCCGGTGGGGGGTGTGCAGAAGGTAGCTGGTTGATGATTCTTTCTCATCGACATTTCTAACTCTCTCTCCCTCTCCCTTTCTCTCTGTAAAAAATCAATAAAATATATATATATATATATATTTAAAAGTATTAAATACATCGTCTGCTATCTAAAAAAGGCATCTGTGAATTGCTTTTTGAAACTTGAGGTGAAAATTTGAAATGATACAGTGATTAGCATGGAGAGTGCAAGCTGAGAGCAAGGAGCTCGTCAGCTTTCATACGTACATCTGCAATAGATACGATCACTACAGAGTCCTTCTGCTCCGAAAGTGTCATCCTGGAAATAAGTGAGGTCAGCGTTTGCTTCAGGTAACTATGATTTCGTCTCTTAACAGTGGAAATGCCAAGTGCAAAAGACACTGCAGACACCGGAGCATGGCATCACCATTTCAAACCACGGAGAAAAATATAATTTAGCATTAATGTCTATGCTTTCTTCTATGTTTGGGTTAATTATGTGGTCATATAAATAGTGCTTGAAATTTTATTACAGAAGTAATCCCAACCAAAGCTGTTAGTTTTTATAATATATTAGAGGCCCGGTGCACGAATTTGCGCACCAGTGAGGTCCCTCTGCCTGGCCTGCAGGATCAGCCAAAACCGACATCCCCTGAGGGGTTCCAGATTGCAAGAGGGTGCAGGCCAGGCCAAGGGACCCCACCAATACAGGATCAGGGCCAATGAGGGATACAGGAGGTTTGGCCAGCCGGGAAGGGGCTGTGGGAGGGCTCCAGGGCGTGTCTGGCCTGTCTTGCTCAGTCCCAATTGGCTGGACCCCAGCAGCAAGCTAACCGACCAGTTGGAATGCCTGCCCCCTGGTAGTCAGTGCATATCATAGCGAGCAGTTGAGCAGCTTTAGCATATCATTAGCCTTGGTTGAACAGACAACTGGACACTCAGCATATTAGGCTTTCATTTTCTGCTTAAGGAAATTCCAATTTGCAGTGGATAGTTAGAAAATGCATTAAATGTACATCAAGACAATTTCAGTACAGTGGAAAAGAAAACTATTCACTCTCTGTTTATTATAGTGTCCTCTAACTGGGTATTAAAAGCATTGGCTGGTTCTCTACTCTTCTTCCTAAGGAGACACTTCAACCCCAAATAGCAAAAATACTCTGAAATAATGTCATCTGTGAAAACAGTAAATGAGGTAATTTCCAACTAATTTGATGGTATAAATCCATGTCTCTACATTACTTTTATTGCCCAATAATGGTCAAAGCACTGGCAGAATAGACCCATGCCATCCTAAATAGATACCAAGATTCTATGCTCAAAGCAGCTACAGACAGCAAGTAAGTGATAAACATTCCTATGGTCCAGCAAAACCATTCTTAAAATAGGTAGGGTCAGCCTTGGGGCTGTGGTTTGCTGACCCCCGGCACAGAGGGACACACTCATTGGAATGAATGAGGTTTGTGAGACAGGCAAGTTTCTGAGTGTTGGTCTGACGTCCCTTTTCTCCACTACTATATCTGGTGAGCTTGAACTCAGTCTTCAAGATTTAGCTCAAGATTTAGTAAAGCCTTTTAGACCCCGATCCCCATAAAGATGGGGAAATGTGGAGATAAGCAGATGAGAATAGATTTATCAAACCAAGGGAGGAAATGATTATCAAGTACTGAGAAGATAATTAACATATCTGTATCAAACCTGAATTTAGATTCAAGTCTCAAAATATTTATCAAACTATTTTTTTTTCCTGCCAGACAACATACTGATTTCTGGTTACCCAAATAAATGCCAGATAGGCCGGTTGATCTAAGTATCAAACTGAGCATCATTTCAATGGATTACATTTTAAAACTTAAAGGCATGTTCCCAAATATCAAAATATCTGTATTTGATTTTCCCATTCTAATTTTCTTACCGCCTTTTTTCTTTTTGCTGATGATTACATTAGGATAAATTCTGTCTACTTTCTTCAGATGAGAGAGAAAGAACTTTAAGATTTCAAATGTATTGGACACTGTTTTATTCTTATCCAATGTATTCACTTCCTTCTCGCCTGAGAGAAAAAAAAATAGGGCATCTGAGTTCATGGTTTCCTTAGATACCATTTACCTTACAGCTGCAGAACCTATAGATGATGTTAAGTGAGGGCATTCGGGGAAAATGGAAAACTACAGGAACAGAGAACTGATCAGTGGTTTCCAGGTGTTAAGAGTGGGGCATAGTGGAGGGTGTGGGGGGAAGAGGGGAGTATCTGACTACAAAGAGGGAGGCATGTGGCAGGACTTTATATCCTGAAGAAAAGGGGAACCACTGAAGGGTGATATACAAGACAGTGCAGTCTTCACTTTGGCTCCAGTGAGGATAGGTAGGTGGGGACTAGACGAGAGAGAGAGAGAGAGAGAGAGAGAGAGAGAGAGAGAGAGAGAGAGAGAGAGAGAGAGAGAGAGAGAGAGAGAAGTAAGAGAATGTTAGCAGACATTTAGATGAAGCACGAAGGTGGCCTGACTAGGATAGTAGAGACAGTGATGGAAAGATATGGACAGATTTGTGAGGTATATGGGATTATGAATCAATGGGGTTGCTTACTGACTGACATGGAAGTAAGTATGCAAGAGAGAGAGGCAGGAGTCAGAGATGATGCTCAGGTTTCTGGCTGCATCTACTGGATGCATCATGGATGCTGGTGCAATTCCCAGAGATAAAAAAACACAGAAAGACCACCTTCCAGAAAGAGATGAGGGGCACTGATGTTTCTTACCTGATTTTTCCATGTCTGACAATAAACGAGCAAGAACTGATTTAATTATATTTATTGGGGAGAAATGTCCTAAAATCAGGTAGCATAAAATGTAAATTTCCAAACATAAAACAAGCAAACTACCATGCACAAAAGCAAAAGCAACACAAACCTAAGTTTACGGATGCATCTCCACTCTGTCTGTTGTCATACTTTATTTTACTGAAGGCTTCCATCAGCTGATGGCGATTGCTTTCAGTTTTGTTTTGTAAACGGAGAAAACTTTCCTTAAACTCCAAAATATGGTTTCTGCAATTAATTAATTGATTTCCTGCATAGAAAACAAATATGTTTATGTTTATATATGTAGCAAAGGTATAATTTTCATAATATATAACAAAAATATAAAATATATGCTTCTTTATAGCTATATATCTAGCACTAAATGTGTGTATATGTGTAAATAAAATGCTATATACATATGGTATATATCATACATAAAAGACTGAAAAAGATAATGAAATGTTAAACACAGCACTATCTGAAAGGTACATATATCAGATTGTAATTAAGAGGGGGAAAAAACAATTGAGCCAGAAAATTCACTTCTATGAATTTATCTAAAGAAAATGACCAGGAATAATGTACAGCTCTAAAGATGTTCAACATGGGCAGCATTATTTATCACTGTAAGAAAATCAGAAACAACCTAAGAACCTAACAATGGAAATATGCTAAATAAATTATAAAATATCCTTTTAATAGTCTAATGGCTCTTAAATCACATATGATTGAATCTCAGTTTTGCCACTTAATATTTGTGCAGCTTGAGCAAGCTGTTTAGTTTTTGCTAGCCTCTGTTCTTCATGTGTAAATGGATATATAAGAATCCCTGCCTCAGAATTGTTGTGAAGATGCAATTCAATAATGCATGCAGACCACGTGGCAAAGCACATTTAAAAAATGCTTTGACAAATGTCTAATAATCATTTTTGGTGGACTATTGTTTATTCATTTATCAATTGAATGCCATGCAGCTATGAAAAAGAATATTTAATGTCCTTAAAGCCATTGTGATGCTTATGAGGCTCCCAAACACAAGGCAAACATTTGGCTGTATGATTTTGATGTTCAAGGGAAAGATTAGGTCTGGTATTATAGGTTTGAGAGCAAAAATCTCGAGGCACTTATAACACTGAGCAAGATGATGTAGTGAAAGAATATGGCCCCAGTCTTAGTTCACCCCTGTCTTGGCTCACACTAGCCTTATCCTTGGGCAGAGAATTCAGTCTTTGGAATCCAGCAGGGAGCATTATCTAAAGAATGGACTTGCCAGCACTGAAATTGACCTAACAGGTTCTAAAACAGAATCATGCTTCATCAAAAGAACTGCAACTACCCCAACAAACCTTGAATATCCATATAGAGGATACTACTTGGGGATGCTCACAAGTTTAAACAGGGACGTGGTGTAACCAGTATAGCCTTGTTACTGGGGCTCCCAGGTAATATTCTCTTTGTAAAAGGGAGCATGTGTTTGGAGTTGATATAACACAGGTGATGCAACATATCTGGGCCAAGATGAGTCAGTCCCTGAGGGATCAATTTGGTAAACATGAAAAGAAAGCATATTCTCTGGAGGAAGTAGTATTTACAGAAACAACCATACAGAGATGTAAAAGGACACAATCTCTTGGCTTAGATCTGCTTCTCGTTCATTCTGACTGGGTAATTCAACTCATCAGTATTCTATTTAACATATTTATAGTACTTGCTGAGGTACTTTGTTAGGGTGGACTGTTATAAAACTATCTTTCTTGCAAAATACTCCACATGTGCAATGGGCCGATGTGACTTCCACCCATAAACCAGGTGAGGTCCTGAGAACCACTGACCTTCCGTCTCACAGCAAGGGGCCAGAAGAAATAAAGAGGAGCTACCAGACTGCACAGCACAGGTTGGTGATACCAGCTCTGAGCCTGTTAGACAGGTATCTCAGGCCTCACCCAGGACCTCCTGAGTCAGAAGCTTCATTTTAATGATTCACAGGAGACTGAGATTGTGTTAAAATTTAAGAAGTACTGTTAATAGACCTTTAACAGTTTCATCTTTCTCATCATTGACTTTACTATAGAGTTCAGGTCTTTATTGCCTCTCGCTGCACAATTATTATAATTGCCTTTTAATTGGTCTCTCACCTCCAATCCACAGTTAATCTTCTGGAAACCCTGCCCAAAGACTTTAAAAGGTTCCCTAAATGCTAGCCAAATAAAATCCAAATGAATTTGCCTTAGTATACATGGTCCTGTACAATGTGGCTATGATCTTTTCCACCTTATTTCATTCACTAAATACCTCCAGTAAGGAGAAGCATGCTGAGCTATTCATTCTTTCTCCCACTGAATAGGTACCATGTGCCACTCACTGTGCTGTGATAGGTAAACAAAATATGGATAAAGTCAGGTTCCTGCTCTAAATTAACTAACAATCGGGCTTGCAAGGGATGCGGGAAAGGAGCATATATTTGAGCAACTAAGAGTAATGGAATTGTCAAAGCGGAATTATCCTTGAGGTACACAGGCCAAGGGAGGAAGGAATAGTGAAGAGTCCACTAGCCCTTGGATGCTGGACTCTGCTGACCAACCAGGGAGCTCTCACCTCGCCAGTCCTGCTGCCAGGTGTGTTGTAGGCACATAGGTACATTTCCACAAGGTCAGCTACCTTGGTGATTCTATATGGTCCCCCACTTGGATGGGGAGGAGGCAAGTGATCATTGTTTCTCTTGTACATTGATGATTCTCTCTCTCTCACCTCACTCTCTCTTTCCCTTCCTCTCTCTAAATTAATAAACAAATCCTCAGGTGAGGTTAAAAAAAAGAGTGTATTCTCAAAATCTCATTTTCTGAAGTTGGACATATGAATGATGGTAATATAAACACTTTGAGGAACCAAATTTGTTTTTCTTGGTCATAACTAGAAAACACACCAAAATGGTTGTGTTTTCAAAAACACTACATATCTCAAAAAGTCTACATTTTCAATAAAAGAATGTTCATTGTATTAAAGTATCCTATGGGGTTGCCAATCTAAATTGTCTTCCAAAATTACTATCAAAAGAAGTTTACATTTTGCTTTCTAATTATGAGTAATGACTTGGTTTTTTGTTAATAAAATAGCTCATTGTTTATTGTTCCAAAATAAATAAAAGACACATTTGGATAATGGTCTTTATAGAAAATAAAGAGGGAAAGAGTATAAAATGATTAAAGATTAGTAGAATAAATCATATAAATTAATATACATTTTTAATCTTTAAACAAATGGCATACAATGTCGGTATTGTGGGAACATGACAAAATTTAGTATTAAGGGACTAAAACATAATTTTAACATTAATCAGAGGACATAAACATTAATTAGAGGTCTAAAGCCACTTCCAAACTTTATCCTTGACTTTACTACCAAGACTACTTAGTGTGCACCCTGAATCATAAATGAATATAAAAAGAATGAAAATTTAACCTAAAACAACCCAAGGACAGTCTTGGAAGGCTGGGTTAATATGTTTGCAGAATCCCTAAGTCTTCAGTTCAAAATGTAACTGTATAAATATTAAAATGTTACACTATAGCCTAGAGTTGAAAGATAAAATAAAGGAAATCAAAGCTAAATTTGAATTGCAGATAAATAATAATTTAGTATCAATGTATCCCATGCAATTTTTATACTCACAAGTTACTCATTGTTTATCTGAAATTCAAATTTAACTGGGCAACCTCCATTTTTATTTGCTATATTGGGAACTCCATAGACAACAATAAATTAAAACCTTGGCTTATTTCAACGTGGTAATGTGAGCCAGATTAGTCAGATTCCAAGCCAGTACTCCGAATTGTTGGTTATGTCTCTCCCTACCATCCCACCCCGTTTCAGCTTCCCAGAATATACTGAGGGAGCCCTGACGTGTGGCTCAAAAACGTCGAACACGAAAGAAGAACGATGTGTGAGTGGAGTTCTTGGAGTCAGACATTCAGGTTCCTGGAAATAACGGGGTAGGGGTAGGGCCAGCTGGGCACAGACGGGGTCCACGCAGAGGCCAGAGCCCGAGGCCCTGCGGGCCGATGCGTTAGAACGCGTGCCCGGCGGTCAAAGCCACGCGGATGGACCTGTGTGTCCGTTACAGCTCAGCCGCTGGCAGGACCAGGGCGTGGGGGCTGCATCTGTGACGCCCCTATTAGAAGAGCAGGTGACCCCGCCAGGTCCCTATGTCACCTCACCCCCTTCTCTCCGACCCAGCAATCCAGGAGCCCCAAGGCAAGGCAGGTGGCGGGAGACACCACCCTCCACTTACTGGTCTGAGTCATCCTGGAGATGCAGAAACAGGAGAAGCTGAAGAGGATGACAGCGATGAGCGCCGTCAGCAAGTTCACTTGCTTGGCCCTCATGGAGCTGGCCAGGTGGGGCAGCGGGCAGCGCAGCGGACAGCGGGCAGCGCAGCGAAGGAGGCGGGAGCAGGGCCCCCACCACCCGGGATGAGGGCAAAGAAGCACGTGAGCGCCGGGGCCCTTGGACGCGCGCCCCCGCGCACCCTCCCCACCGTGTCTGTGGGACCCCGACACACCCGCCCCAGTGGGAGCGCTCTTCCCTAAGAGAACTCTGCATGCACCCTTCGCCTCCCGAGGATGGCTCAGCGCTTAGAATCCGAAGCTTGTAGGGCTGCGGTTAGTTAAATGACTCAAACTATGGGACTGACACATGGTGAGGGCTCAGGAACGTGCTTTATCTTCCTGCAGTAGTGAGTGACTTTTGTGCCAGACTCTGGGAGGATCTCAGGTTACACAGCTGCAAATGGTTCCTGAAATCTTATACATGGATTTCAAAAATTCCTACAGAAGATATGTATCTTTACTGTCAGATGATTTAGCCTTAAATGGTAACCATCACATGTTCAAATGACTTCAATGGCTCAAATGTTCATGTGGGATGTGATCAACCCCAGACCTTTAGTTTACTCCCCTGACCTTTATTTTTTATCTGTTGGTACCCGCTCCCCAGGAAAGGGGCAGGGAGTCAACTTTTATGAAAGAAAAAGTTATGTATACAATGAGCAGCTGTCCTAGGGAGATTTGCTGAGCTTTCCCAAGTTCAAGGTAGGAGTTCCTCAGACCTTCAACCAAGGCTGGGAAACACGAGGTGAGCTTCAGAAGGGCGAGGCTCTCTCTAGTCTCCTTAAACGTGATTTTTTATTTGGGTTCTCCACTCTGATTATTCTACTCCTGTGTGGGACTCACTGGTAAAAAATGGATTCAACTTCAAACCAGCCTTGCACCACTGGGCTGGTTTCTGGCCCTTTGAGGAACAAAGATTCTTCTAACACAGGCCAGCCTGCCATTGTAAGTCATTTTCTTGAGAGCTAGTGGCCAGGAGTTGTGGCCTTCAGTTAAGCAATGACCCAGCCAGCTCCCCAAATAGGGAACTGGGAGACATAAATGCATCCACTTTATCCTCCTGCATCCCGTCAGACTCTTGCCACTCTTCACTTTGGCTAAGCTCTCTGGGAAGCCAGAAAGCAAGGAAGTCCAGTTTGATGTCCAAACTGTGCGCCACATGTGGCTCTTTGGCCCCTTGAGTGTGGCTCTTCCACAAAATAACACGGCCTAGGCGAGCCTATTTTGAAGAAGTAGCATTAGAAGAAGTTTAAGTTTAAAAAATTTGTCTCTCAAAAGAAATTTCAATCTTTGTACTGTTGATATTTGGCTCTGTTGACTAATGAGTTTGCAGACTACTCACCTAGAGCATACGAGATTGCTTCCTGGGCTATGGAACAGAACAGAGAAAGTTGTAGGTTAAAGTGAGATGGGAGAAGAAAGCTATTCAGCACAAAGAAATCTCCAAAATCAATAATGTATTGTTCTCTAACTTGAACTCCAGGTTCACATTTTCAGCTGCCTTTAAGATTCAAAAAAGCACTTTGCTCTTACACCTTAATATATCTGAAATCAGTATATCTTCTAATTGATTTTTACATTTTGTAAAATTATATCTTCATCTTTTTCCAAAAAAAGGAAAAACCAAAATCTTCTAGTCAGCCAAAACACATGGTATTTATTGAGCACCTACTGAGTGTCAGTCACTGAATAGGTGCTAGAGATACATATAGTCACCTGCTGGTTATTCCTACATATCAAAGATTCGGCTGAAATGCCACATCCTCCACGAAGCCTTCATTGGTCTCCATCCACCAAGAGATCACTATCTCCTTTGAACTCTTATAACACCCAAATCCTCTCTCAGGGCACTCAATCTGCATCATATTTAATTGTTATGCATATACTTTATTTCCTTTGCCATGTGATAAACCCCTACGTTTTTTATATCACACTAGCGGTTTTTTATATCGCCAGTGCACAAAATTCATGCATGGGTAGGGACCCTAGTGGCTGTGGGCCGCCGGCCAGCATTGCTTTTCCTGTAGTTGGCTGGACAGCCCTGTCCCCTGGTCAAACTCCCAGTCTAGGGGACTATTTGCATATTAGACTTTTATCATATAGGATTCCCCACTGCCCATTTCAGGGCATGTTACAGATCAAAGGTACTGACTGAAACACAAGCCTGTGGTACAACTGAGCTATAGTCACAACCAATCCCTGTACTACTACCACTGAAGCCAATAATAAATATCACTCCAGGCAATCTAGAAGCTAGACAACAGTAGCATTCTCAAAGACCTTCAGACTTCTCTTTTGTGATTTGCACTTTAGTGTCATATTCAGACCAGGGGAGGTAGAGAATTACCAGGCTAAAAATAAATATTCGTTAAAAAAGTAGAAACAGGAAGAATGGCCTCTGGGGATACTACCAGCATCACAGCCCTTAAGGCTTCTTGAGTTAACATTGGTCTCATAACTGTTAGCACAGAAAAGTAAGCAATGAGGACAGATTTTTCTAGTCTCCTATGTAGGCAGGATCCTGAAGGAGAAAACAATCTGAAAGATAATGACTATCGATAAAATGTCAGTTGTCTTGGCCCCTATTTTTGTTTCAAATTACTTAGAAATAAGCCATTTGTACCATGTGGGTGCTATTTGTTAAGCACAATTCAGGAAAATGACAGTATCAAAAGGGATTTTTATGGACCACCTATGACTGCTGTAGTTAAACTTTAGTATGCATAAGAATCATCTGGAAACCTTGTTAAACACAGATGACTGGGCCCATCCTCAGAGTTTCTGATTCAATAGGTTAAGGCTGGGACCCCAAATTTTGCATTTCTGACAAGCCCCAAATGATACTGATGTTGTTGGCCCAAGGAACTACCCTTTGTTTTTGTTTGTTTTTAGTTTGTCTTTATTGCTTAAAGTATTACAGATGTCTCCTTTTTTCTCTCATTGATTCCTTCCACCTTGTTCCCACCCTGGGAACTATGTTTGAGAATCACTGCATGACAGCACTCCATGGAAGCATACTAGGTTATACTTAGAAAAATGCCCAAAACCATCCAAGATACTTATTTAATAAAGACTCCACATCTTCCACCATCTGTGTAGGGGAATCTGTTATGTCCCCTGGGCCTTTATATTCCAGAAGTTAACAATAGGTACAAAATTTGTCTCTGATTTTTTTTCCATCACCATTTATCCCCCCTATACTCTCAAAATAAAATTAAAAATTCAATGAAAAAAATTTGTCTCTTATATTTGTGAATGTACCAAGACTAGCCTGATTAGTGGGGAAAAGGGTTCTAGGATTTTTCCCCTGAATGAAAAGGCCTAGAGGAGATAGACGGAGGACGTCCCTTCCAGCAAGCAGAGCTTGCAATCTAACAACTAGATAAAAAGACACAGGAATGTGGTACAGACAAGTACTCAAACATGGAGCAACAAGGGCTGAATGTCTTTTTTTTTTTTTTTTTAATTGTTCTTTGCTGGAAACCAAATCAGTTTCACTGAAAAAGAGATGTTGATTGGAAGCCAGGAAGGCTGGTCAACAACCTTAATTGCTCTAACCTTTAGTTGAGATTTTGTTAGCTGAAGCAGATTCTACCTTGTCCATGAAAGTTTCTGTTATTTCCTGCCTAAGGGCTACATGTAAATTTCTGTTTATGTTGCTTAAGATGTCTTCCCCAAAGCCTCAATAAAAGGGGATGGCAGGGCCAGAGCAGTAGTAGTTCTCCCACTAGAGTTGGACTACCGCGTGGCCCCCCAAATCGCCAAATTGAATTTCTTCAAGTCTCTTTTCATTTGTGTGCGGCCCTTCTCCAGAACCTGAACCCTGAATTGGAACTCTTTCTACGCGGGCCGTGAAAGAGAGTCCTATAGTTCTTAAATTTTCCTTAGGGAAACTGTGCTGCTTCAACAATTCTTTCATCTGTGCATGCTGCTTCTCATGAGTAGAGTGGACCCTGTCACCAACCACCTTATCACTCATGATAATGGAAAGTAGCGGAGGAATGTTCTGGGACTCTATAGCCAGGCTTTCAGAGGACTGGTCTCTTTTACCTTCTCCTTTTTGAAGCCCAACTGCCATGCAGTCAGGAAGTCCAACCGAAATTACCGAGTGCTTAGAGACTACCTGGAGAGGGACACAAGGATGAGAGGCCATCTTGGACGTCCAGCACCAGCAGAGCTCTAAATGAACACAGCTACGTGGGGACCCCACATAAAACTAGCAGAACTCCCTAGCTGACGCCAGACAACCCACAGAATCACAAGAAATAAGTTACTGTTTTAAGGCACACAATTGGGAATGGTTGGTTCATGTCCTTTTTTAAAACCATTCCTTCTTTAGTTCCTCTCATATTTGAACAAAACACATTCGCCTTCAGTGGTCGGCAAACTCATTAGTCAACAGAGCCAAATATCTACAGTACAACAATTGAAATTTCTTTTGAGAGCCACAATTTTTAAACATAAACTTCTTCTAATGCCACTTCTTCAAAATAGACTCACCCAGACTGTGGTATTTTGTGGAAGAGGCACACTCAAGGGGCCAAAGAGCCACATGTGGCTCGTGAGCCGCAGTTTGCCGACCGCTGACCTTAGTGATCCAGTCAGCCCTCCATACCTTCACACTGTATTTTCAATAATGTTTCAGTTATCAGTTTTAGTATCAATTTAATAACTACTTTATTGATGGTATGGAATACACTATGTTCATGTCATGTTGGGATCTGGGGAGCCTATTTCTGCACACTGGAGTGTGGAATGCATTCTTTGGTCTAAAGAGACGTATGACAAGGAACCAGAGAGCCTTGGCAGGGTTTGGACTTTACCCCAAGATAGAATAAATGTCAAACCCATCTGACTCCTCTAGGGACTGAAAATAGTAATCCTATATAGTTCACTGGTTTACGGCTTGGATCCCTGTGCCCAGGAGACTATTCCAAATGTCATCTTTAAATGGCTACTTTTTTTGGTGGTGTTATTAGCATTCAACAGTCTCTTACCACATTGGTGGAATA